TGCCTACCAAATCTACCGGAAGTAAAATTTTTAAAAATGAAAAATATTGTTTTGAAGCTAAAGGAACCTAGTTTCACATATGTCGAGGTCGAAATGCTCTAAGCATCCACGGATGAAAGCCCCACGTTCTGGCGAGACCCATAGAAAACTTCTACATTTTACCTTCCCAAAAATTCTAGGTTTGATAATTTTCTTTGGACGGTGGTATATAAAAATTGTTTTTTTCCTCGGCTATGAAATGGTATACTCTTTACCTACCCATTAAAAAAATCTGGACAGGAAAATGTCAACTGGTTCGGGGTTAAGAGGTGAAAACAGTGAAATGTAGCGAAGTGTCCGAATTTAGGGCGCAAGTCCGAAATTAGGAACAATGACTGTAACCCACGACTGTTGTTCTTTGCTTTCAGACAACTACCGTGACCATGAAAACAGCCACAGGGTGCGTCACCTTCAAGCATCGAGTGGGCACAACCCTTCGCGTGCGAGGAGGGAATCATACGTTCTCCTCGAAAAAAGGATCGCCACCGCCACCAGGAAGCTCGAGGCCAACCGCATCACTACCATTCAGAATCGCCAGTCACTAATGCCACTCCACCTACAGCCGGGTCGCCCAGCGGAGGCAGAACCACCAGCGGGCTGAGGGGGTTGAACCGCTGGCCCCGGAGGTCGCACACCCCATCCCTGAGGCAGAGATGGGACAACCGCCTCCACCCCCTCCTCACGTGCAGGACCAGCTCGACGCCCCCGGGGCGGAGGACGACTCCTCGGAGAATAAAGGGAAAGTGGATAAGCCTTTTGTCCCTGGTGGCCGTGGCCGTGCCCGTGCCCGAGGCCAGGCAGCGCAGCGCGGAGGTGCCGGTGGCCGAGGCCAAGGTCAGGCAGCACAGCGCGGAGGTGAAGGCCGAGGCCGGATCCGCGGTTGGGGTCGAGGCCAGGCAGCACAGCGCGCTGCTGGTGGCCATGGCCAAGGTCAAGCAGCAAAGCAAGGAGGAGCACGACGGCGAAGAGGCGCGGCAGAACGCGTCGAAGACCCACCCTTGGGGGCAGTGCTGCGGGCTCGGCGGAACCTAGGCGGTGAGTTGGGCTGCCGGATTGAAGACAGCATTCTTACTCCTACATATGCCATACCATTCTATCGACAAGTATCTAAGTGTATCTCATTTCTCTGTTTATAGTTGTCCAGGCCATCGTTTAGCCTGCTGCCGCCCAGCCAGTCCTGCCTCACGTCCAGCCCTTTTTCCTGCACGACGCCGTCGATGACGACGACGACATCCACGTCCCGGGTGACAACGACGAAAATCTGTTCGCACTCCCCGAAGCGCAGTACCTTGAACGGTTCAGGGACAGGACCCCGTCACCAGTGAGGGAAGTAGAACTGGAGGCCCAGCCCCAGCCCGTCGACGTCGGACCCACCCTACAACAGCAGCAGCTGCGAGGGGTGGATAACTCTTGAATTGGGTGTACAAATTTCAAGAATTGAATTTGAATTAGCTTGAATTGGTTTGAATTGAATTTGAATTGGACTGAATTGGTGGAATTGGTTTTGAATTGGTTTGAATTATTGCGATTTAATGTTACTGAATTAGCGTGAATTGGCTTGAATTCACTTGAATTGACTGAACATTGTCTTGAACTGGACTGAATTAGTTGAATTAGTTTTGAATTTGTTTGAATTAAATTGAATTGGTCTGAATTAGTTTGAATTGGGCAGAATTAGGGGTGTACACTTGGCAGGGGAGTTATCCACCCCTTGAGCAGCTGCCAGGAGGTGCGCCACGTTGTGAGAAATGCTGGGCGGCCCGAGCCACCATCCTCCTGATGCCGTGCAACCCCCTGGCCCTGTGTGCACCCTCCAATGACTACGCAACGGTGCATGGAGAGTCGTGCCCACTGGGATGCATAGCAGAGGTGATCGAGCGGCGACAAGTCTTCTACTAGTCAGCAATAAATTGGTAAGTACTCTTTCAAAATCAAACCTCAGGAATATTTTTCAATCTAGGTTCAAAAAGATAAATTTTGTAAGCTCCTTGCATCAACATTTGAGTGATATACCTCTTAACAATTAACGAAAGATTTTTGAGATCTTATCACGGAGTTTAACTTTGGTACATTCATTGGATACATTTTCAATCCCAGTCTCAATTTTTTTTTACAAAGTTTTAGGAGTTTACTCAAGCTTTACTTTAAGAAAATATGTACCCAAGTAACTTGTTCTCAGTCAATAGCTTGGAATTAATATTTTGAACTAATCTGAACGATTTTTTTATGTTCTAGAGGATCCTCTTGTTGGTGCTGCACGGCCTTGCATGGCATCGAGTCTCACAGACTCCTCCATCTCAACATGGTTTTAAAAATTAAAAAAATGTGCTTTGCAAGGAAAGTAAGTTTTTTTTTAGATAGTATTCCAACTAATCACACTGATTGACATTAACATAAAGAACATAGATTTGGTATACATCAAATGAAAGATAAAAAGTTCCCTTTAACAATATCAATGCTTTGCATAGAGACACAATCATTTAACACAATTTGCAATTCAACGGTTGGTTGTAGAAGGCTTCAGCAATCCTTACATGCAGTGTACTATGTGTTGCAACAGAATCCGTCTCGCCTGAGTCGATACCCCGCGCTCCGGGCGCGGCAAACAGGCGGGCGCAGGCTGCACTGTTGCCGTTGTTCTCGGCGTGCGGGGGGTGCGGGGAGGGGGCCAGCAGGCCAGCAGGGGAACCGAGGAACGTTACCCGGTAGGGAACAGTGCCAGGGGAACCGCTCCCTGGTACCCCCGATACCCTTAGTACCCCTACTCCCAAATCGATTCCCCGATGACTTAAATATTGTTTTCTTGTTGTCAATACGATACTCTGAGCATTTCGACAAGATAAATAAAGCTGAAACCCTAGTATTTCATGTCAGCTCTGCCCGCGAGCGGTTTTTCGATGTATCGTCAGACGCAAAGAAAGTAGTCCTCCATATAATTGAGTTTTTAAGGGTTCGGACATGGTTCGGAGGATCAGGAAACATTAAAATCATTTGAAAAATAATTCGGATTTAAATAATTGCGAGCTAACGTGTCTATATTGCCCGGCGAAAACCCGAAGAATTCAAATTTCGTCCGCCTTCAACTGTGTGAAGCTTGTGCCGTTACGGGAGCTCTTTGCCGCTTTTCCCGCTCGTCTCTAACGGACAACGGAGCGGAGCTCGCCTTTGACTGCTCTCTTGACTCGGTAAGTACATGTATTGTGCTGTCTGCACCGTACCGATGGAAAAACAAACTTCGGAAAGTCTGTTTGTTTATCGGTGTGATATTCGGAGGTTTTTTGTAGAGAAAGGCTATCGTGAAATTCCGATTCTCTGTAACCTCGAACATCTTTCAGTGTTTTTTGTGGAGGTCTTTTTATACCTGATGTTCCAAAGTTAAAACAGTGCCCTGGCACATTGTTTTACTCCATGCCTGAGGCAAACCTCCACTACCTGAACCTCACAGTGGTGCGGATTTCAACAATGCTGAAGATACACATCAGATACGTATCGTTCTAAAACTTCTGGTGAACTGGTGATAGATCTCATGGTCTAAAGGTCCCCATTCTTGGTTCGCTCATTCGCGGAGCGAGTTCGCTCGCGGCAGTGAGCGGGCTCGGCGAAGCGCTACTCATTGGGTCGCACAAAATTTTGTCTGTGAGAAACGGTCAAAAACATAATGTCCAAGACTAATCTCAGTCAAGGACAAAAAGTCAAAGACAGAAATCAGACATCTATAGTTTTGTCTGTGAGAAACGCTGTCAAGGACAAAGGCTTCTATACCTGTACAAACCGCTGTCAAGGACAAAAAGTCCAAGACAAAAATCAGGCATATATAATTTTGTCTGTGAGAAACGCTGTCAAGGAGATCAAGTCCGAGACATGTTCAATCATACATTGCAAATTGTGAAAAACGCTGTCATAACACTGTCCGAGACAAATCTCTAGGACAAATAGCATAAATATAGGTTTTGTGCGATCGTAACGAGGTCCAAGACAAACATCGAGGACAAACA